TCCCCCCGCCCGCCGCGCGCCCGCCGCTAACGGCCGGGGGGCGCCTCGCGGCGACCGTTAGCCCGCGCGCGCGGCCGTTTAACGGCCGCAACGGCGCTCGTGGAGCCGCGCGTGCAGAGCGAAGTCAGCGCTCTATTTAGCTGTTTATTTGCCTCAGGATCACGCGAAAGGCTGCGCACAGGAGTGTACCGGAGCAGCCGTTTGACTCATTAGTGTGCCACGTTTCAGAATTTTATTATTTATTTTCAAGGGCACTCATAACCAGAGTTACTCTCAGCACAGCATTTAACACACACTGTCTTATCTTAGGATTTCCCAATCAAACCGTATTTAATTATCTGATAAGGGAGTTCTTGCAATACRTAACAGTTTCACTTCTGCCCAGTGCAAGCAGCCGTTACCTGCTCTCCCTGGCTGCTTACGTGATTTCGAGTCTTCAGCACTGGAGCGTGTACTTAAATATGTTTGTGCAGGGCAGGAATCCTTTTTTGTTTAGTATTGTACAGTTTGGGCATTCCTAGCAACATTTATTTTTGCTATGATCCCGTATAACAAAGACCTTTCAGTGGTTTGTACAGCTTTTCATCACACAAGAAGTTTTAAACAATGAGCTGCAGCATGTCATTTAGCATTTCTCTCTGTAGTAAGACAATTCTTTGGTTGCCTGCAATACCAGATGAAAATCGAGGGCTTGTCTTGGTGCCAATATGAATCCGAATTATCCACTTTTCTCTCTTTTCCTTTTCTGTCTGTCCTTCTCAAGTTCACAGAAGCCTCCAGTGCATTTTAACCAATCTTCTTTTAAAGTCTGATTTTATCTTTCTGCATATAAACAAGGTTCACCCATAGTAAGAACTTCATGGCCAAAATCCAAAATTACAAACTCCCTGCTCAGCAGTACCATAATCACAACAGTTCCCAAACTTACTCTGCATTTTCCTATTTCAGTTTTAAATCTCCCGCAGTGAGTTAATTTTCTCCCAAATTCTTTCTCTGCAAATGTCAGAAATACCCAGATAAAGCCCAGCAAAATCCTAGCCCATCTCAGACAGAAACCTCTTTCATTTGCTGAAAGAGCACTCAGGAGGCCTCTGAAATCTCACCTCTCCATGAAGCTGTGCCCCTGTACAGCAAGGAATGCAAGATTTTTTTTTTTTAAGAGAAGCAGAGTAAGCAAGAAAGAGATGAACTTTGTAAGCTGAGAAAAACAGCAAGCCTTGTAGTCTCTGATGCCTGATCCAATGGTTGTTTCCACACTAGATGTAGCTAGAACTTAAATACACATATAAAACATGTATGAGCACACTCAGACACTGATGTATGTACATATATTTATATATTTATATATTTATATATTTATATTTGTGTGTGTAGGGGATGAGCCGTGCAATGGCGTACATGATGCGGAGCACTTTGAAGGTATTTCAGGCAGGCTTAGATGGGGCAGGACTATATGCCTAGGTTTATTTTCAGCTCAGCCCTTTCTGCTTATCCCAGKGTCAGCAGAAGGACTTGTAGACATGATGTGATCACTGTAGCCCAATTGCCGCTTGCTTTCTGCAGGAGGAAGCAGCACTTTCTAAATCTATGTGATTTAAACCTTTGCACAGGAGATGGTTGCCCTTCAGGTCCTTCAGCCCACACTGATGCATCCCTGTACCACAGAGCCTAAATTTGTTTGGTCTTTTTGTCACTGCTCTTGAAAGGGTTTTTTTTTAAWTTTTTTTTCTCTCCATATAGCTCAATGGTTCAAGTGTCAGCAGGCTTAATTTGCAACACAGTGTGTTTCATCAAAAGCAGGTCTTCAGAATCAATGGCTTCTTTCAATAGCCTAACACTGATACTCTCTTTGCTAAAACCATTTGGTTTATGTGGGGTAGATAATTACAGAATATGGCCAGAAGGGACATAAGCAAAAAGTACATACATATGGCTGCATGTTACATACATAATACAGGTCATTTATAGAAACAGGGAAGCAACTCTTAAGTACTTGCTTAAGTCCACTGCTACATTGATAATGACAAACTAGTATTTTGTTTGGACAGTTTGTTATGAGCCTTGCATGTGAGCTGGTCCTCTACAGAATTTAAGATGCTGCTTGGAGAATTTGGGCCAAGGGAATATGAGGCACAATAGCTCGTCAGAACCCAATATATCACCACGGCTCAAGAAACTGCCTGGATAAAATGCTATCTCCTGTAACTCAGAGAATGTATTGACTCAAGTGCAAGGTTATTGTAGAAAATCATTGCTCTGTTGGTGGAAGAAATGATTGACAGAGGAATATAATGCTCAAGGTTAAACTGAGTGCAATATCTTTCCAGAGGAGGTCACTTTCTCAGTTCAGAGGACAGGAGTTTTCAGTATAAACTAAAAAAAGTTGTTAAAAATAACACCATTTCTTTTCAAAGACTGGTGAAAGATGACTGGTATTTTTCCAGGAGCAATCTTTGGACTTTATTTCTATTCCAACTTGTTTTAACCACTAACACATTGTCATGCTGTTGTTAAAGCAAGAAATATTTTCTACTTAGCTTGTGACTCCTTCATCTTTATTTGTATGCATTTTCAAATAAGTATTCATTTTTATTCACATTCAGTCACCGTTGGTACCTCCTACAATGGTATTCACCATTTCAAATCACTGTCACTGTGTGTGCTACTTTTGATGCTCTTTTCCAGGATTGTCTCCATTAACGGTGACATTACAACCTTTAAAATATCCCCTTCTTTCAGCATGGAGGATTTAAAAGGTTGTCTTACAGTAAGTGCCTCTGCTGGTGTGTTAGTGTTGGGAGTTTTCTGTTGACAAAGCTGCACAGCATCCCAAATGACACCAGCTAAGCAAGTCTTCACCAAGGGGAATTGGTTGCAGTAGCTACGTGTCATTCTCTCAGTCAAAAGAGCTGACTGGCCACGTTTACCAAGTTTACTGGTCAAGATTCCAGGAAAATGACTTCCCTATCACTGCAGAATATCAAGGAAATCAGTGCTTGGCAAAACGTTTTCAAACAGGTTACACACGTGGAGGGAAAGGGAAGCTGTGTGCACTGCTCTCCCAAAAAGCAGAGAGGAGGAGTGCTGATGTGGAGCTGCTGAGACACAGGCAGAAAGAGTCTGCCTGACTTCATGTGGTTAAATGTCTTTTACCTCCACTGTTGACAGTGCTAACCTCTTGCTGCTGAAATTTTGTTGAAAGATGTTAATTGATGTCATGTGCAGAGCTGTTCCACAGACAGCTTCAGGATTAGGACCGGTGAGCAGGGCCTCTTCCAGAAACAGTGTAAAACGCAGTTAAGCCCCTCCATGTAATAGAGACAGCTAATAGCAGAGATGCCCAGGGCGGGATAACAGGCTGGCTCATTTCTCAGATTGCCCAGCATGGGCCCAGAATATGGTTTTGCAAGCCTGTGTGCTGAGGCAGAAACCTGGGATAAATCCAACAGCAAGCCGGTCTGTGCCTGACCTTGAGAAAGGGGCAGAAGCCAAGCAAGGAGCTCACTGGGGCTGTAAACCCCAGGAATCCGGATCGTCAAACCTACCGTCAGGTCGTGTTGTATCCACAGCGTACAAGACTTTATACGCAAGTTCTTTTCTTGGTAGGCACATGGGATCTGATCCAATATTTTAAATTTCTGCTGCTCACTAAGTGTTCACCAGCTGCTTGGGCAACCCTGTTCTGTCTGTGCAGTCTTGCTGTTTATACACGGTGCAACCTGCTTAAGCCCACGGGCTTCTAAAATGAACTAAGGTGACATTGACACGTGCGGCTGTTCAGGTCATACAAGTTAAACAAGGAAACAATCTCTGCCTCAAAGCATCTTTGAAGTTTTAGGTGTCTTAATCACTTTATTGTTATACATTTCGACTAAGAAAAAAAAATCAGTAAAGGGAGATTCTTGAATAGCAGAGACACCTCTGCCTCTGCATTTGATCTCAGTAGCTGTTGGAGAGAAG